TTATATAGAACCAGTTTCTATCAGGGTGCAAGATTGTGCAGCTAGTTCTGTGGGGTGAGGGAGAATGAGGAGTCAAGGATGACACCAAGGTTATGAACTTGGAAGACCGAAGAATGGTGGTTGGTATCTTCAATAGAAATAGAGAAATTTGGAAGAGGGATCAGGTTTTTTTTTTTGAGGGTGGGAGGGAAGAGGATGAATTTTGTTTTAGTATTAAACATGCTGAATTTGAGATGTCTATAGGATACCCAGTTGGAAATGTACAATAAATAGTTTATGATGCAGGACTCAGGAGAGTCAGTAGAACTGGATATATAGCAAAAAAATCATCTGCATAGTGATAATTAAACACATAGGAGCTAATAAGCTCACCAAAGGAGAGAATATAATGGAAGAATGAAAGAAGCCCCAGGCCAGAGCTTTGAGGGGTGCACTCACAGTTAGGGGTCATGATTTTACTGATGAACTAGCAGAAGAGACTCAGAACATTTGGATAGATTATCGGATAATGAGAAGAGTATAGTATCAGGAAAAACCAGGAAAAAGAGAATATTTAGGAGGAGAGGAGAATTAACAGTTTCAAATGTAACTAAGAGATTTAGGATGAGAAGAGACCATCAGATTTGGCAGTTAAGAGATTACAGGTAACTTTGGAAAGAGCATTCTCGAGGGAGGAGCCAAGATGGCAGAGTGAAAGCAGTGACTTCCTTAAGCTCTCCCTGAAACCCCTCCAAATACCTGTAAAAAATGGCTCTAAACAAATTCTAAAGCAGCAGGACCCACAAAAAGACAGAGGGAAGCAAATTTCCAGCCCAAGACAACCTGGATGGTTGATCAGAAAGGTATATTGCGCTTGGCTTGTAGAGGAGCGCAGTGTGGCGTGGGGGGCATAGGCCACAGTGAACCTGGAGTAGACCTCAGAGGACTGAATCGCAGGCAGTTGTCGTGGTTTCCAGAAATCTCAACCCATGAACGCCAAAGACAACTGAGAAGGTCAGTGGGAAAAGTCCGTTTCTGCGGTGCTGAGAGAGAAGCGAGGTCAGAGCCAGTTCCAGAGTACAGAGCGCAGGCTCCGGGGCAGTGGCTGCATCCTGTGCTTCTGGCCCACAGATTGAGGGGGAATTGGTGGCTGATCAAAGGGGGATTTCAGGGACCTCTTTGCCAGTGCTGAGGCAGGAATCTCTTGCTTTGCCGGTGCTTGGATCTGGGTCATGGTTCTGGGTGGCAGTCCTGGGGCAAGGAGGAGCGCTGGTATGGTGGACCTTGTAGTGGCTGTGGAGAGGAAACCTTCCTCACAGTTCCAGGACAGAAAGGAGTGCTTGTGGTAGACCAGAGCACAGGCCAGGAAAGGAGTAAACACCTCGCCCCTTATCATTCCACCTTGCAAGAATTGAAAATTTACAGGTCCCTACAAGTATCTCTGAAAACAGCTGTATAAACCCCTGAAGCTTGGGACAGTACATTCTCCACATTAGAAGCAGACCCTTACCTTAACAAAGAGTTTAAAACTCAAGTAATTGGCCAGGATCATGAGCAAGCAGTGCAAAAAGAGTCAGACTATATTATCTTACTTTGGTGACAAAGAAGATCAAAAATATACAACCAGAAGAAGACAACAAAGTCAAAGCTCCCACATCCAAAGCCTCCAAGAAAAATATGAATCAGTCCCAGGCCTTGGAAGAGCTCAAAAGGGATTTTGAGAAGTAAGTAAGAGAAGTAGAGGAAAAACTGAGAAGAGAAATGAGAGTGATGCAAGAAAATCATGAAAAACAAGTCAACAGCCTGCTAAAGGAGACCCAAAAAATACTGAAGAAAATAACACCTTAAAAAATAGCCTAACCAAATGGAAAAGAGGAAGCCAATGAAGAGAATGCCTAAAAAAAAATTGGCCAAATGGAAAGGAAGTCCAAAGATTACTGAAGAAAATACTTCCTTAAAAATTAGAATAGAGCAATTAGAAGCTAGTGACTTTATGAGAAATCAAGGTACTGTAAAACAAATCCAAAAGAATGAAAAATTAGAAAACAATGTGAAATATCTCATTGGAAAAACAACTGACCTGGAAAATAGATCCAGGAGAGAGAATTTAAAAATTATTGGACTATCTGAAAGCCATGATCAAAAAAAGAGCCTAGACATCATCTTTCAAGAAATTATCAAGGAAAACTGCCCTGATATTTAGAACCGGAGGGCCAAATAGAAATTGAAAGAATCCACCGATCTCTTCCTGAAAGAGATCCCCAAAAGAAAACCCCTAGGAATATTGTAGCCAAATTCCAGAGTTCCCAGGTCAAGGAGAAAATATTATAAGCTGCCAGAAAGAAACAATTCAAGTACTGTGGAAACACAATCAGGATAACACAAGATTTAGCAGCTTCTACATTAAAGGACTGCAGGGCATGGAATATAATATTCCAGAGGGCAAAGGAGATAGGATTACAACCAAGAATCACCTACCCAGCAAAACTGAGTATAATCCTTCAGGGGAAAAGATGGTCATTCAGTGAAATAGAGGAATTTCAAGCATTCTTGATGAAAAGACCAGAGCTGAATAGAAAATTTGACTTTCAAATACAGGACTCAAGTGGAACATGAAGAGGTAAACGGGAAAGAAAAGTCATAAGAGACTTATTAAGGTTCAACTGTTTACATTCCTGCATGGAAAGATGATATTTATAACTCATGAGAGTTATTTGTCATTATTATGGTAGTTGGAGGGGAAAAATTATATGTATGTAGATAGATAGATAGATAGAGGGCACAGGGTGAGTTGAAGATTAAGGGGTCATATCTGGAGAATAAAATTAAGGGGTGAGAAAGGAGTATACTAGGAGAAGAAGAAAGGGAGAGGTAGAATGGGGTAAATTATCTCACAAAAAAACAGAAAAGAAAAGGCTCTTACAGTGGAGGGGAAATGGGGGAAGGTGAGAGGGAATGAGTAATTCTTATTCTCATAGGATTTGGCTTAAGGAGGGAATAACATACACATTCAGTTGGGTATGGAAATCTGTCTTATCCTACAGGAAAATAGGGGGGAAAGGGGACAAGAGAGCAGGGGGATGATAGAGAGGAGGGCAGATTGGGAAAGGGGGTAATCAGAAGCAAATACTTCTGAGGAGGGACAGGGTCAAAAGAAAGAATAGAATAAATGGGGGGGCAGGATAGGATTAAGGCAAATAGAGTTAGTTTTTCACAACATGTCTATTATGGAAGTGTTTTGCATAACTGCACATGTATAACTTATATTGAGTTGCTTGCCTCTTCAGTGAGGGTGGGTGGAGAGGAGGAAGTAAGAAAATTTGGAACCCAAATTTTAAAAAATACATGTTTAAAAAAAATGTTTTCACCTGCAACTGGGAAATAAGAAATATGGGAAATGGGGTACAGAAGTCTATCCTGCCCTACAGGAAATAGAAGGGGAAGGGGATAAGAGAAAGGGGGAGAGATAGAAGAGAGGGCAGACTAGGGGAAGGGGTATTCAGAATTCATGCCACCTTGGGGTGGGGGGAGGGGTGAGATGGGGTGAAAATTTGAAACTCAAAATCTTGTGGAAGTAAATGTTGAAAACTAAAAATAAATGAATTTATATTTTAAAAAAAGAGCATTCTCAATTGAGTCAGATGTCATATTGCACTTCCATTCAACAGCCAATGAGTAGGAAATGAAAAGGAGAATTAATTAATAGTTGGAATAATCCAGAGCTGAGGTTCGGAAAAAGGTGGATGGTATTAGTGAAGAGGACAAAGGATTCAAGAGTAGAGGATGATGTAGAATTGAATTGGCTGACTAAAGGATTGGGAAAGAAAGAAAGTGAAGTTAGAGCAAGGTTTATGGTCTGAGAAGGTATTAGAAACTGACTGGAAGGCTCAGAGCTAAGAATAGATTTAACAAGAGTGAGACATAAAGAGAAGTGAATGATAGGAGTTTGTGATCTAGCCATTTCAGAGTTTTTCTTCAGGGAAGTAGAATACTTGGAGGAATGATGAGGTTCAGATTGTGGCCATCCTTATGTATGGCTGAGTTATGTATGGCTGAAGTGGAGTGAAGGAATAGGTCATGGCATTTAAGGAAATTGAGGAATTGAGAAATTAAGGAATTTGAGAGAGCATCAATATAGCTGCTGAAGTGCTCTAATATCAAGGCAGAATTTGGGGAATAAAGGAAGACAGTAAACCATGTACTGAACTTCTTGAGCAAGGAGGAGTAGACCTGGGAGTTATCATGATCTAGATTGGGTGGAAAATTTTAATTGATTAAACTTCAAAGGAGGAAAGGTTGCTGAGTGGTGATGGTAAAGGAGAATTTGAAAGGCAGTACAGAGCAAGGAGTATTTACATGAATATAGAGTTTTGTTATAAACTGTATGATTTAAGGAGTCATTCAGGAGTCAAAAAGTCCCCAAATACTGGGCTTTCTCTAGAGTTCCTTCTTTCTCTTTTTAGGTTTTAAATGTTTATTTTCCATCTCTTTCCAAGTTATTTTTATGACTCAGTTTTTCTATCTATTGCTCTATTTCTGCATTTAATTTTCTCATTTTGTTTCTGTGACCATGAATTTGTCAGGATATGTTTGATCCTTGTAGGGAGTGCAGTAAGCTAGGAAAGGCATGAAACAGACCCATTTATAAATGGCAGAAATGTGGATTGCTTCAGACCATTTAGTAATAAGGCTAGCTGTCAGGGCAGAAGACCTAGTTTTGTACTTGGCCTTTTAGTTTTTAAGACCAGTAATGGTTGAATTTAAAATAAGACTTGGATTATTTATGATTCTCACTATATTTCTCAGTTGCATGACTGATCATATTTAAAAAATTACATTCAGCCTTGGAAGGCTCATTCAGATACTTTTTGCTGCAAAGCATCATGAGATTAAATTGTAATCTTTGTACAAATAGTACAGATCAGGAAGGAATCAATGTTACTGTTGAATTTTCTTCTACCAGCCTTCCTCAGTATTCTACCAGTGTTATCCTGTGCTATATGCTTTATTTTCTTTTGCAGGTATTGTTTTAGTAGCTATAAATCCTTATGAACAGCTGCCTATCTATGGCGAAGATATCATTAATGCGTATAGTGGCCAGAACATGGGAGATATGGATCCTCACATCTTTGCTGTGGCAGAAGAGGCTTATAAGCAGATGGCCAGGTGAGGGAAAGATGAATTTGTCCTTGTTTCATTTATTGTAATAATTTCCTCATTCTCAGAAGGCAATGCAGTGTAAAGGAAAGATCACCAGACCGGGAGTCAGAAGATCTAGGGAGGTGTTTGAAAATGTCTGTACTTAATCAGAGAGTTTTAAGTTAAGAAAGTACTTCAGAGGTTGCTGAGCCCAAACCCCTCATTTAACAAATGAAGAATTGAGGTTTGAAAAAATGAAGGGACTTTCCTCATATGCAAAATGAGGGAAGTAGTCTAAGTGAACCCTGACATTCCATTTAGCTCTAATATTCTCTGGTTAGGTCAGACATTTTCAAATTATCTCCTAGATTTTTAAAAAATCTTGATGCTTCGGTTCAGGGGATAGAAACCACAACATGTCACTCAGTCTATACTGTGTATGAGTTTTAACCCAAGAATTAGTACCTAGTTGCTAGAATATATGAACAGTGGCCATGTTATCATAGATCTGTAAAAGCACTAAGCCCTGAATGGAATTTTCACATTCAAAAAATATTTCTTTATCAAGTGACTATTATATGTCAGACACTAGACCTTGGATACTAGAGATAAAAAGACAAATCCAAAATCAATTCTTAGCCATTTTTAAGTAGCTTCTATTTTTCATGTTTATATATGCTTTAATAAACATTTATTCCTCAATATCAACTCTCTGTGTCTACCTTGGATTGTCCTAAAACCCCTCTGGTACACTTTGAATTGGAAGTCCATTGGTAGAGCAAATCTTAAGGATTGAGTTAGTCTTTTTAGCTATGAAAGAAATTACTTCATTATCTAAAAGTTTAGAGATTGTCTTTTAATATATCTGTGCCAAATGAGCACCTGAATGAATGAAAAAAGTGTTTATTAAATTCCAACTATGTGATAGGTACCAGGATGGAATCAACCATATAAACTGAGTACATACGAGGTCACAGGCCAGGTACTGGATGAAGAGGTATAAAGCTATACACAAGTACAAATTTTAGTAATGATACTGTGCTTCTTTTAGCTATCAATGCATAAGCCCATAATATCTTTTAAAAAAGATTAAACAGAGGTATTTATAAAAATTGTGGGGAAATAAAAAGGGTGGGGTGGAGAGAAAACTATTTGTGAGACCAGATTATGCTCTTAAAAAAGGGATATAATAATGAATGATCAAAAAAAGAACAGAGTAGTATAGTGGTAGACTGACAAGTTTGGACTCAGGAAGTCCTACCTTCAAATTCTGCCTCTGACACATATCTACAATAGGACCATGGGCAAATTATTTCCATTTCTCAGTGCCTCAGCAAACTCTGTAAGACTACAAGTTACGAATGAGTGGCTGATTTGCATTGATGGGGGGGGGGGAGTTTCCACACCATGATTTCCCTGAACCAAAGAAATCATAAATTCAGATCATCTCCCACTTCTTCCTCCAAGAATGATCAATTTATGCATGTGCAACTCTGTTCTACAGCCCACAAGTCCAAGCCTGCAAGTGGGTTAGAGAATTTCCATCCATTTATAGAGGTTTTTTGGTTCTTCAAGCCAAGGTAGCAAGTACCTTGCACACCAAGGAGGCAGAAGAGTACTGGTTTATTAGAGCATTGTAGTTTGCAAAGAGGAATTTGGAGCAATTGACTCCTCCAAAAAAGAGTTTTGAAAAATGTTTACTTGAAGGCTTCTTTGAATATGTAGGTGTTTTAAGTTGGAGTTTTATCCTTAGCGTCATTATTACTGGTGGTCTATTGATATCATATTTCTCAATTTTCTTTGCTTTTACCCTTAGATGTTTATTTTTGGTTTTACATTCAGTAACTTATTTTATACAGCACCTCTGAGACTCCATCTTAGCCTTATGTATTGTATATTTCCTTCATTTTTTCAATTTGTTTTTAAAAACAGGCTTCTTTTGTTTTTCAGTCAGTTATTTCTTGTAGAAACCCCTGCCTATAACATAGGCAGAAATTTAAAAAATTCATGCATGCTTAGTTAAGCTTAGAACATCCAGATGATGTTGGTAGGTCATTACTTACATATTTTTCTCTTTTTTTCTGTTTATAAATGTTCTTTCTTTTTAAAAATTTAAAAAATTCATTTTGAACTTGAATACAAGAAGACAAAAAAGGATAACATTTCTATATAACAGCACAACGTAAAAAAAGGATTCAATATAAAACCATGAGTTTCCATTTCATACTGTTGAATTTTTTAAAAAAACTATGTATTAAATACTACATATAATTTTCAAAGCTACTTTGCTTTTCTGTGCTTCCTTCTAAGTTTTCTTTTATTCTCTGCTGTGCACTTTTAATTTTTTTTCCTCCCTCCTTCCCCACCCTGCCTTAGAGAAGGCTACCATTAGATATGTGTGTGTGTGTGTGTGTGTGTGTGTGTACATACATGCGTATGTAAAAAGATGCTATACATACTTCTATTTGTCAGTTCTTTCTCTGGAGGTGGATAGCATATTCCTTCATAGGTCCTTTGTAGTTGATTTGAGTATTTATAATACTCAAAACGAGTTGATTGTTCCAAGTTGTTCTTAGAACAATATCATGTTTACTGTGTACAACATTCTCATTTCTGCTCTTCATGATTTCATGCAAGTCCTTCCATACTTTTAAAATCAAGTAGCTCATCATTTCTTATAGCAGAGTAATATTTCATCACGGTCACATACCACTTATATTCGGATAAATTTGACAAAGTTCTTTATACATTTGAGAGATAAGACCTTTATCTGAGAAATTGTCTATAAAATTTTTCTCCCAATTTTCTGTTTTCTTCCTAATCTTGACTACTTTTGTACAAAATCTTTTTAATTCAATGTAATCAAAATCATCCATTTGACATATTTAAGATATGGTACTGCTAAACCTACTTCCTTTACATTTTTTATTGCATATTTTTCTTGCTCGGTGTTAAGGTAACATACTTTTCTGATATAAGTAAAATTATCTTTCGTTATTCACAGTTAGGGACTGTTTGAAAGTTCCTGCTACTACAGAATTAGGTTCAGGGAAGACTCAGCTTCATATCTTGCAGTAAGGATGATACCAATGATTTCTATAGGTAGATATAAGCCCAGTGGTTGTAGCAGTCAAGGTAATTGTAAGAGAGTGTGTGTTTTAATGGGAAAAGCCCTAGATTAGTAGTCTAGGCCTCTCTCTCTACTGCTGATAGCTGTGTGCCCTTGAACAGTGTACTTATCTTAATCAGTTTTCCTTATTACCTTCTTGTGCAGGTATAGTGCATTATAACTCTAAATGTGAGTATGTAACTCATATTTCAAAAGCATTTTAAAGTTTCCAGAGAGTTTTCTTTACATCAACTTGGCAAAGTAATGTAACTACAATTATTCTTATTTAATAAGAGAGGAAACTAAGTCTCAGAGAAGTTCATTTGCTTGTCCCTAGATACAAAGAAAGTGTCAGAACCAGGACTCAAATTCAGATCTTCTAACTACTACTACTATTACTAATTATAGTATTGATAGCTATTATTTATATAGCACCTTAAGCAAATCTGCATACATTTAGATATGCATTTGAATGATGTATGTGTGGAATGGCTGTTTAACTTGAATAAATACCCCATGTTCTGATCTCTTGTAACTGTAACTTGCAGATTGGCAGAAGATTGATACTAGTTTTTGGAATATATGTGTTTCCTTACTAGATCATGGAAACAAGTGAATGAGCATTTTCTAATCTAGTAAGAGATGGGGCAGTCTAGTGAGAAAAGCCCTGGGGACAACTAGGTAGTGCAGTGGATAGAGAACCAGCCCTGGAGTCAGGAGGACCTGAATTCAAATCTGGCCTTAGACACTTACACTTACTAGCTGTGTGACCCTGGGCAAGTCACTTAACCCTGACTGCCTCACCAAAAAGCAAAGGAAAAAAAAAGCCCCGGAGTAGGTGGCTAGTCCCAGATCTGCTACTGAAGAGCTCTTCAACTTAACCTCTTTGTCACAATTTTTTCATTTGTGAAACAGGATAAAGACAACTGTCTTCCCTACCTCACAAGACTGTTGTGAGGATCAAATGAGATTATAGAAATGAGAGCATATTGAAAAGCGTGAAGTGGCGTGTAGTGTTATTGTTGAATCTCCTTCCTAATTGTTTTTGTTCCATTGTTGTTTTTCATTTAACTTAATTGCTATTGACTTTTATTTATTTATGGGACTGGTTTGTAGAGATGTGCCATATTTTGTTTTGTTATATAGTTCCTCTGTATGTTCTCATATACTTATACTTGGTTGTTTGTGTTAATGCTGTTAATTACACATTGTAACCCTTTGTGGTTTTTATCCTGTGTGATTAAAAAAAAAATCCATTGCCATTTTTATACAAGTAGGCACTTAATTATAAATACAAGATAACAGTGAGAATGTGTTTGTCACTAGAAACTATGTGGCATATGCCAAATCTTCAGACTCTGAAAAGGTTCATTGGAAATTAGTATTCAAATTCAGATGTTGATCTTTCAGCTATGTAGTGAGTTTTCCTTTGCTTAACTCAGTGACCTAATCTTTAATCTCTAGAGAATTTTTGTTTCCATTTACTGACTATTCTTTATGGCTCTCTAGAGCACCATCTGTCACAATTTATAGCCTGTACCAACTGTGATATTTTCTCTTTATATTGTATATTTATTTGTCCTCCACAAAAAGACCACCCAACAAATGTGGTATATATGATTTTTGTCTAGTGTAATTTTGAGGGTTCATTTTGTTTTCTGGACTTGATTGAGCATTTTAGCCAACCTAACTGCAGGGAAAGCCTAAGTCCCTCCAACAGGAGGGGAGAATGAGGTTGAGAACAACAAAACTCATCCCCAAAAAGCACCCAATATTAATGCAGTACCACTGGAAGTTGTCATCACTCAGTCACAGTTTTCGAAGAAGGGCACACCAAAATCAAATTTCCTCAACACTACAAGAAACTTATTTGAATCAAAATTATTGTATATTAAGATCATAGACATATAACCTACTA